ACACTCATATTCGAACGGATTAGTTTTGAGTTTAGGTGAGTGGAGTAGTGGAACAACATTTTTTGGGGGTACCCTGTGGTCTGCGCCACTCCACATTGCAGTAATCAAAACTTTGATTACTGAAAACAAATCAACTAAGTACTTTTTTTAATTCAATTTTTTATTCTCACAAATTCTTAGAATATTATTTTGCTTTGGAGTATGAGATGAATAGTATAATATGTTTTCAAGTTATCAAAAAGATAATAGTATAATAATAATAATAAACAATATAATTAAATATAATCATTTGTACATTGATTTAATGTATATTTTTAAAAAACTTTCATACCTCTTGAGATAATGAATACTTACTGTTTGAAGAATCACCCCAAATACTTACCCAATTTAAAAAATATAGTTTAGTCTAAATAGTAATTTTAAGCTATTTTAAAACCTATCACACAATCCTAAAATACTAAGTCAGACTAAGTAGTTGGTGGTGTTGCCATATAAGTTAATGATAATAATACATTTTTATTGCAGTATATAATATCGATCATAGGTGGACATTTGATTGAATTTTTGGGAGTTGAGGTATTCGTGTTCTTACACAAAATTGACTAAGTAGTAGTAACAAAGAAAGAAAAAATGATTGTCTTAATTTTTTGGGAGGATAAACCCTCCAAGAGCCTACCCTTAATTATATCGCATAAGTAGCTTCTCCGAGTGTTGTGGGTAACAAATTGCGAATAAATGATTACATTTATGGCTCATGACCATATTTTTAACGAAATCTGTTAATATGTTGTAATTCATTGTTGTTACTCATAAGTCGTAAGTGCATAACACAGACAATACGATAATTGTTAAGTAATTATACTAGGTTCTATGAATAAAGTTCAAAGTCTGTAAATAATCAATTACCTTTTACTGCGAGTAATTTAAACGTTTTAAATACTTCTATACATCTCATTATATGAACTTTTGCGCTCTGAATCTTGGTTTTTATGCAGTGATTTATTATTTTATGCTAATGTATGATAATTAATATCTAATACAATACATTGTATTGCGTTGATGTTTATAACATCTGATTGTGCCTCACTGATTTAATATGACTCGTATTAAGTTTTTACATTTGCTCTCATAAAATTTTGTGTTGGTAAACATTTTATTATTCTAATTGAATTAAATCGTATATAGTTGCATTAATTACGTATGTTTGTAATTTCATTCAAAAGTTTCTAATTCAATTTTTTTAGAAATGTTCCCTTATTGATAAGGATAACGTTATTCGCATAATTTTCTTCTTGACGTTAATTTTTTCACGGGAAAAACTATTAACTTCACATATATAAATAAACCTTAAATCGTTAAATTTTCATTGCTTACTGCATTTCAGGCTTACGACAGTCTTGTCTATTTGAGTTGTTGAATCATGTTTCGTTTAATTTAACTGTTGTATGTGAATAATTCAAATATAATTGAGAATTCTACAATAATACATTGTGTTCTTTAGTAGTTAAGTGTATTGTGAAATAATAAGTATAATAAGTATAACATTAAGATTTTTTTTTAAACATATTTAAAACTGCTACATAAATTATTTTAAACTACCTATGTAGACTTTTTAAATCATTATTACCTATTAATAGAAATAATTATTATTATAATTACTTAATAATACAAGTGTACATTTTAAAAATCAAAAAATATTAATGTTATTCAAATATGCAAAAATATGATGCCAATCTCTTTTTCGATGGTTTTCCCATTTCATCGACCATTTTATTTGAAGTTTTTGTAATGTCTATGTAAATATTTAACATAGCTTTAAGACTGATTTTTTAAGTTGTATACGTACCCCTTAAATAGGTTTTAATTCATCGTAATGTTGAAAATGAACGTTTTCCAGTTGCTGTATAGTGACCGGAAAGGCAGGAAAGTCATGAAAACTTGAAGTTTCTTAGAAGAACCGGATACATGTCTGCATTACACTGGAAGAACAAATCTGTTACAGTTTTTTTCTATGTATAAGAAAATTCATCATTCTTTTCCTTCTTGAATTTATTCAGTCACTAACATTTTCAATCTTTAATAATTATAAGCTTGCTCAGCTAGTTATTGTGGTATAGATATATAATTTTCACATTAGAACCGTTTGAAGTGTAATGTGATGTCGTGTACTGACAAAAGCAAATCGCAACAGTTCAATATTTGGGTAATACGATTAATTTATCGTGAATCTGTTTAATATTATGTCCTTTAACCTTATACTGTAGTTGATATCGTTCGTTACTCAAGTAATTATTATCAATATAAATATTGTAATTTGGAACGATAAAAATACGTTAATGTTTTATGACCGGAATGTAACATTATAATGCATATTAGTAGGTATTATATAACTGTAAGTATTGACTAATCACTTGTCTAAGCCATTGTCACAATTATGGATCGTTTAATAATAATTATGCTATAGCTACTCGTTTCGTAGGTACTAGGTAAGATATATATTTTAATAATATTAAAATATTATAATATTATCAATCAATGGCTAATAATATTATATTTATGTGTTGTTCGACAAATCTTACTCCGATCGTCGATTACAAACATTAAAAGCTATGTAGGCGCAATTGCTCTGGCTGTACACAAATTATTTGGCTTTCGAAATAATAATATAAATAGATATTATATATTATATTATGTAGTAATACTTGAATGTACGCACACAATACACATTCGTACGACTATATAAGTGTTTTGAATTGTCTGTTTACATTTGAAATTAGGTCCTAGGTGTTTGCTTGTTAAATACCATTTCTTCTTCATCGAACATGACGCATTGTAGTGGGGCCACGTTAACCACGACTATAGCTAGCTCGCCGAAAATGAAATGGAAAACCTCGTAGTTGCTGCAGGAGTCACCAACGAAGAGACTGGTGGCAGTCTTCACTCGTCATACCATATTTGATATTATCATCGTTTCAGCATTTTTTTTTTTTTTTTATTAATTTTGGGTGAGTAACACAATCCTACCGTTGGATCGCATATAATTACCTATTATAATAATATAAACTATTTAAAATGTCATCATGTTATATTATGACAGTAAGTCATACTTATTTTACTACCACGATCTCTTAAGATTTGTGTCAAATTTAACTAACAATAGAAACGTGGGTCGTAGACACAATTTAAAAGTGTCTCGTCAACATTGAATTGGCCGATGCTGTCTCTTATATAATTATTATATTATCACATTATCCTATAGGAGAAGATTTCGAGTTTTCGTTCGCCAATCAGTTCATTTTGATGTAGGCAATTCGCTAAAATTTCTATTCTAAAATGCGATTTTATTTTTACACATTACACAACTTGAAGCTTTATATTCATTAATGAAATGTTTTTATTTTCTATGTATTTATCATCGATTTAACTACAAATTTTTGTAGCATTGAATATTTTCATCTATGTCTTTATCTCTACAATTTACAAAATATTCAACATATTTTGTTTGATTGAATAGCATACATAATTTATTCTACAAGTATTATAAGGTATTATTTAAAACCGTTTGGTATCTGTCACTTTTGCATGAATATGAATAATTTTTAAACTTTCAGTATTTTCTACTGACATGGTCGGGAAAGTGTTTTTAAAAAGTATGAAGATTAATCTAGTCCTATGATTTATATGAATTGTTTTTAGATTTTTTGCCTCGTCTTTTACAAATTTGGTTAGTCATATCCACTAATTGGCATTATTCATACATATGATTTATTTTTTGTTTTGCATACTTAAAGTATAGGTACCTAATACATATTATTGCATGTCTTCACTATACGTAAAATTGAAAAGTGCATGTTTTATAGTTTATTTAAACAGAAGTAATGTAAATACGTGTGATCACATTACGCTGATAAATTCAATTCTATACTTCAGTGATTTTGCCTTTGACGAAAACCATTTAAAATCTATTTAAAATGGTATAGGTGTATTTCAGTGCGAGACAAAAATGATTTAACAGTTTACCTTCGTAAAAAGTAACTTGGGTTCATTCATTCAATTTGTTTTAAAACTAAAAGCTGCTTCATTTTGACTTAACGGATGCAGTTTGAGGAATTATTGGTAATTACATTTTATATGATATTTTTATTTCACGTTTTAACATATTTTCGCAAAATTAAATGCAAATTGATCATTTTATAACGTATAATATAAGTCTTATTCCTAATTTAGATTTAAGTGATACCTTACTTGTATACATAAAAAAATGAAAACCTACCAATATTTTTTGTGTTTTCTTATGATTATATTTTGTCACCAACGTCCCCCCTTATCTGGTTAGGATTTTTTACAAATAAAATAAATATTTATCACACTCCATCAGTTTTCTTACGGTGCTGGATGGCCACTGATTACTAATTGTTGTCAACTCAAGTATACTTGTGTGATATTTATTACCCATTACCTATATTACATTAAACTGTTTATTATGAGTTATCGGTACCCATATTGTAATGTTATAGGTGCTTCTATTTCGCCATTTGGATATTAAATATTGATTTAAAAAGCGTTTAAAAATAGCTCGTCCATTTTAACTGTTTAATAAACATAGGAATTGTTTCGTATGTTAAAATAACTTAGCACGAACGGGTAACTTGTAATATTATTGTAATTTAGTACGCGTTTGCTCTGCTTAATGAATTAATCATATGACAGACACAATTGATTAAATGCTCATATAATTTCTTATAATTATCTCCAGTGATCTAATTCGTGTTTTAATAAGGCACTATAGACGTGTTCATAAAAAAAATCTTGGCTTTAAAATTAATATTTTTTTAAATGATAACGAATACTTCAGATTAAAAAGGAATTTTAGATTTCTGAATATAGAACTCTGTTAATACCACCACAAGATAACAATAAAAAATTGTTTAATAATTCAGAGCAATAATTGTGTCATGCTGCAGTGTGATATTACTCAGTCTATTTAGTAATATTATATAGTCGTCAGCGATCTAATAATTGAATAACGGATTCGTTCGTTCAGTAGTTCTTTTCCGTTTTCATTGTCGACGAGGCCGTCTAAACAGGATCACTTCGGCAACTAATTTTTCGCTGAGATTGTGAAAAATTAAAATAGAAAAAAAATTGCATTATTAACATAATTCATTTGTACGGCTAACACCTTAACGTTGTGAAATAAACATAATATTCAAATGTATTGAAACGACAGAAGTCGTCGCCAGTATTGGACAAAACGCGTGCGCCGCCGAGTTACTTCTAATAGCGGCGTACTCGCGATGTATATAGGTATTATTATTATTATTATTAAAAAAAAAAAAAACTTTAAATAAACAATCCGCAACAACGCTATTATAATAAAATATTTCGACGGACGAAAAAGTCGAAATTCCATACGATGCGCGCACATATAATATAAATATTGCTCATTGCAGGTGATGATTTTATTTTTTTCGAAATGGTCACTTGCTAAGCGCAATACATTTGATTGCTTCGATTCATTACACACAAGTACACAACAGTGTGCCGCCTCGGTGTGACGCGTCTGTATTGTATTCTTTACTCTATATGCTTGATGAGCGATGATTAAAATTATTTTTTGCTAAACTATTATTGGACTATCGATGCGAGTGAGTCCTATATAGTCCAGAGAAGACACCGCCGACAGATAGATAGATCGGCCGAGGCGGATGTTTTGACAAACAAAAACTCCGAAAACGAAAAAGTCAATATGATTCGCAACGACCATAATATCATATCGTGTACATTATAGTGTTATTATTAAATCAAACGTTCCGTTTATCGTTGTTGTTTCATTCGAATTCATTTATTATTATATTTTTATCATTATCATTATTATTATATTAAATAGACTCGCGAGCGTTCCCTTTTGCAGGTGTTCGCGCTGTCGCTTTCGCGTGTCGTGTCGGTCCGTTCAGACAAATCCGTTTCACAAGCGTTAAGAATTCGATTTCAACCGCCGCCGCCGTCGTTTCGCCGAACAAACCAAACGATAACAAAAAAAAAAAAAAAATCGAAATAAAAAAATATCGGTGCTCGAGTTTCGTCGTGTATAGCATATTATACGGTTACGTCAATATAATATTATTATATTATATTATACGTTCGTTCCATTATGTTTACATATAATATATATTATTTTATTATGTAAGAATTGTTGTACTGTATCGTATTGTAGAACGACCGTTATAATATTATAATTATATCGCAGCCTATGACGGCGCGCGAATAGGAGAGTGTTTCATAATGAGCGATTATTGTTATATTATTTATTGCGTACTAGGTATGTGTCCATTTTGTACTTCTCTTTTGTAGTGGTGGCACTTTTTTTCGCGTAATTTCTCTATTATGTACAGAGACATGCGCGCGCAGTGCGACGAAATAGCGAAAAACGAGGAAAAAAAACACTTTCAGTGTATGGCTGATTTTATAACATGCACTATTTGATCATTAAAAATCGGATTTATGGCTATCATATCTTAAGCATTGATAAAAAGGTCGTTGGGAGGATCCATTCCATTCATCCCTCTTATCGTTTGACTGCCACTGCAGTGTACACCAACCTATATATATATCATTATAATATTGATAATAATTATTGTACTCGTTATTTTTATAATATCGACAGCGGCCGAGATAAAATATTTATTTTTCTTTTGATTTTAAGCAGGGCACTCTTCCACCATGGTCCAGATGGGCGCGAAGACGACGACCATAACAGAGTCTGACATGTTACAACAGGAAACGTACCTGTTGAAAAACGACCAAAAGGAACAGAAGACGACCAACTATGACGGAGAGCAGTCCGCACAGTTCCCAGTCAACAAGCAGGAAATCATATGGATGAACGTCGTGTTCATCACTTTGTTACACGTTTTGGCCGTATACTGTTTTTGCAACTACTTCTTCTCCACGAAATGGCAAACTTACGTATGGTGTGAGTACGACTTACGACTGAATAAGCATGTGCGTATTGCGAGTCCGCAGCGTGGATGAAGTGAAACTTATTTACGGAAGGTACGAAAAAAAAATGAAATTATCGCCTGCCACGGTCGAATATTAAGTTAGGAAATAAAAAAAATAAAATTTTCAATTTCAATTGATTAATTATTACCTACTATGCAAAGATAAGAAAAATATTATTATTTATTATCGTAGAAATCATTTAGTGTCGTGACGGCCGAGTATCTCTTCTTTTTTTTCGCACCCCTTGTAAAGAAGTTTCGCTTCAAAAATGTCAGACGGGAGACAACGAACGAGAATAATGTCTGTGTTTCTCTTATCCCTGCACCTAGGGTAAGCGCATATTATGTAGGTATAGTGATATTGAATTCGACAGCGCAATGCCTTCGAAAGCCAATTTCGATCCGAACCCGGTTAAAACCACCGCGTTTCCAAGGGGAGTTCTTGATTTCTACCATAATATACACTTCCAGATTTTTCTCTAAGCTCACAGTAGGATTACTACATTGGGGAAAAACGACGTATATATATAATATTCAGAGTAGGTACCAGCTAGACTCGAATGTCGATTAATAGATAGACCTAATCGAAAATGTTGTGGCAAAGCAAAAATGGGGGAAAAAAATGTGTTATTATTATGAAGCAGTTATATTTTCGGTTCACGCAGTGCAGTTATGTCTAAAATAATATTATACGAATGTAGGAAGTCTAGTGTTCAAAGTAATAATTTTGTTATGCAATAAAATAAAGACTCAGTCTTAATGTTTATACCTGTGCTACAATATTATAAATTCCTGAGGCATTGTTGAGTTTACTGATAGACATTTTTTGCTTACAGTCGCATTCATTCTATGCCAAAATCATAATTTGTAAACATTTATTTATTTAAAAACTACCTAGGTACATAAAAATACTATTGTATTAGCAATAATAATTATGTAAATACATTATACATTTAAGTACATAGGTACGACATACATATATACGTGTGGTTTCAATTGATCTAACGTTACTTAATTGAAAGATGAATTTCCCATGAGGTTAATGAAATACATTTAAATTATTTGTTTTTAATGACCCATCGGATCGCAATTCGTCCCAACAATCGTGTATTTGCATTGCAAACAATAGGCGACGTAGGTTCTAAATAACAACGCATAAATGTCAGACCATTTGAGTTGAGCCTAGAAAATAAAAGTTAATTTTACTTTTAATATTGTATGTTAAATTATTTCAACACATTGAAAAAAAATATTTTTAGCTACGGATAAATATCAATATTTAAAATTTTTTCTAGAATAAGATGAATACTTTTTTATTTAGGTTTTTTCAAATTTTCGTTTTTTTTTTAATGCATATAGAAAACAATATGTTCCTTAGTAATTGCAGTATTAACATTATTTTATTGCTATTACATTTAAATAAACCAAATGATTTTGTCAATGTGCTTTTCGGAACTGTATCATCAGGATCAACATCTTGATAAAAACCAGATTTTTACTATGCTCTGGTGGTTTTTATGGAAATGTTGATATTACAAATAGAAACTATTAAATACTTTCTGGTTATTAAATATCTACTGCCATAGTTTTCTAAGTAGGTACTATAATAAAATACGTAATATAGTAGATACTTACGTTAGACGAGTTTGAAAAACGAAAAGTGAATAATGTGTAACGATGATTAGTGTGTGTGTGCGTGTGTACAGTGTGCATAGTGCAATAGTGCATACTGCATTACTGCATCCGCTTATAATTTATGCGGGCTTAACATAGTTGCAATATTATTTCCTCCGGTCCATTCCTTAAAAATCACAAGCAATCAATACAAATTATTCGTATTATCAATGATCAATGATCAATCGGGTGATAATACACTATATTATTTTATTATTTACATACAAATTCCTACCACATGTATTTTAAAGGTACATATTATTTAAGTTTATCCAGATAACTTATCTAGATACTGCTCAACAATGTTTGGAACATACCGTTCGTAGACTAGTAATCATCACGAGTGAGCCTCATAAACGTTTTAAGGACAATATTAAATAGAAACAATGTAATAATAATGTTTACGCATTAATAATGCATCTTAACCTAACATAATCTAACAATGCAATTATTCAAACAAGGACCAAGTCGAACAACTATAGCAAATAATTTTAAACGTAACTACATTATAACATGATAGGTAGGTACTAACATTATATTGTGCTAAGTTATTGTTATTTTGTTTCCATTCGTTTTTGCTTAGATCGATTGGCGAGCGTTTCAATAATAACTGTCAGGACTGTCAGGATTGTTTTTTAAATCTAAAAATGTATTTTATTATTAAATTCGAGTTAGAAAACAGAATGATTAATTGTGCATATGCAATTTATTATCTTTTAGACATTAAATAAGACTTCACAAAGTACCTATAAATAATTATAATTGCATGTTAAATAATGGTTTTGTAAAATATTTGATCAACCGTAATTGAACAACTATCTATACCCAGAGCGAAGTGTTGAAGTATGATAGGTATCGTTATAATACATTTTTAAGTGTTAAACTTAGGTAGATGAACTTAAAGATATTTATTTTTTAAGTAATTACCTTCACATCTTTAAGCTTGACATATATATATATTTATATTGTATATGTTTATATCTACAACTAATATCTTAATGAAATATGATGTACACATTTTAAAATTTTGTACTTCATAATAATACAACAATTTCATTTTGAAACATCGAAAAAAGATTAACATTTAAAGTAATTACAAATAATATAAATGTTTTCATGCTACTTAAATTCTTGCTGACTTGCTTATTTTTATCTGACAATCAGGTTTATATCTGCTTTTAACCCGTTATATTTAATACGAGTAATTTAGCTAACCAGCGTCTGCATTTGGGTTTATTATTTTTTTAATGAACATGACTGTCAAATAGTATATAGGCACTTGGTTTTTATAATATGAGTAATAGAAAGTTTTTTTCTTGACAATAACTCAGATGTTTTGTTTGTTTACGTATTGCATTAATGATAGAGAATGGGACTTAATCCGGCCGTAGCTAGGCGACTAAGGGGATATAAGTATAAATTTAAAATAATATTTTACTAATATTATAAGTATAAAAGTAATTTTAGGAAAATTATTTTATTTCCATTTATTTATTTTACTTAGAAAAGCGGTTGCCTAATATAACAATATTAATTTTACACAAAATAATAGTTACAAAGTGAGAGTTTCAATATTTATTAATTATTAACAGTAACATATTATTGAGCGATATCAACATTTACTTATTAATAAAAATATTTAAGACATTAAAAATTGAACTAATAAATTCGTCTTTTAAGAAGTTTGATATAGGCGATTTAAAGAAATTTTAAGAAAAAAAAATTTAAATAATAAGTACTGATTTAAATAAACTTTCAAGTGTTAAAAAAATATTTTAAACCTATAAAAATAACATATTTTATGAGAAAAATAATTATTTTCGTATTAAGTAATGTCGACAGAGTATAATATTATTCGTAGAACAGTCAGAATATGTTTTTTTATTTTTATGGTGCAAATTTGGTTTCTCAACTTGATTCGACTCAAGCGATTCTTGTAATGGGCGATTGTAAACTCTCCCGATTTTAATGACATGTTAACTCTCCCGATGGTAAACTCTCCCGGGTTTAGTCCAATACTATACCTGACGGGAACATGTAAACTCTCCCGGGTCTACTTCAGTACTACTAAGCTAGGGGAGCATGGGGTAACATTCGTTTTACACTGCAGTTTGTAAAACTAAAATAATTCAGTCCGTCGCATGTTATCATAATACGTTGTTATCACTTAACACAAGATAAATACACATTAAATATGGTAATACAATTCATGATAAAAATTATAATCACAATCTCTGCAGTGAAGCCAATTCATAGGGTAGCAATAACATATAAAATAACTTGGGAGAGTTTACACATTTCTTTCAAGTAAACATAATTTTGACCCGGGGGAGTTTACACATTTCTTTCAGGTAAACATAATATTTACCCGGGAGAGTTTACCATCGGGAGAGTTTACTAGTTTTAGAAATCGGGAGAGTTTACCACCGCCCCTTGTAATCTTGTCTCACGAAACGGGTTTCGACAAACAATTAGTGGGCGCCCTCATTGGTTATTTAATAAATATCCTTATGCCATTAATTGTACAAGAGAACATTTTTGTTTTCTCCAAACTTATGGTTTTTTCTAATTGATGATGTTTTTCAACTTTCATTGTTTAATTCTTATTTATGGCACAGCTTTCATAGTCGGCGGTATTGGTGGATTTGGAGTTACCGGCGGCGCACATCGATATTTCACACATAGATCGTTCAAAGCGAAATTACCATTACAAATCATACTCATATTGTGTTACACAGTATCGGGACAGGTATGTTATAAACTGACATTAATGTTATACATTAGCTAACACTGTAATTGCCAATTTGACGGTTTATTTTACGCTTTATACTCATTTTGCCTACTATGGTTTATACTTTTTATAAATACTATAATGAAATGTTTTATTCAACATTGAAATGTGTATTTAGTAACTCGGAATCAATTTAAATATCTGAGTAGGGTTATTAAACACATTCAATCGAAATCGATTCGCAGAATTAATTTTTTAAATAACTACAAAACGACTTAAATTCAAATCGAAACTTTGTATTCCTCGATTTCGGTTTTATAATAATTATTATGATTTTCTCCGACGACAACAATTCTTATTTATCTACTTCTTGTTTGACGTTTCCTATATTTTTTTCATAGACAGAAGATATTTTATAATAATAATAATAGTAAATAATCTGAGGTAAGGTGTTGCCAATTGTATTGTTTTAAGCTCGATGACAAGCTATAGTGATGAAAAGCTAGCTAACACGATCCCATCGGTGGAAAATCACGCCCCAAGTGACCCATTATAATTTATTACAATTATCATATATTATTATTATCATACTACATCAAACTTAAGCGTGTAACAATATAGACGTTCTCAAATTGTATTTTTAAACACTTCGTTCGTCCCGTAGAACGACATACCCGATTGGGTTCGCGACCACCGAGTGCATCACAAGTTCAGCGAGACGGACGCCGACCCACATAACGCCAACAGGGGTTTCTTCTTCTCGCACGTCGGTTGGCTGATGCAGCGCAAACACCCCGAGGTCTACAGACGGGGCAAGACCATCGACATGTCCGATATCGACAACGATCCACTGGTGCAGTTTCACACCAAGTGAGTATAAGAGACAACATTTGAGACGGTGGTTTTATGTAGACTGGAGGGGGGGGGGAGGGTACACCGCTCGGGGTATTTCGTTCAAGCGATTTTATAAGACAAACTATTATTAGTATACAACAGGCAATAGTAATCAATGTAGTCTCGACTCTCGAGTACGACTGTCGTCATATCTCAGTTGCCGCACACGATGGCAGTACATGATTTCATTGGTTTTCCAATAGCGCGTATGGCAATAATAATATCGACTATATTATATTGTATTCTAATGTATTAGTCCTCAGCGATTCACACAAAAAATGCACAAAGTTTATCCCAAATCTCTGTAGGCTGCGTGCCTCACGGTTCTGCGTAAAAATATCCAAATAATAATTTATTATGTTTCCGGATTTAACTTCGTATTGCATTATTCAATAAATATTATCTACCTAAATGGGCAAAATTATCTAACCTTTTTTTTTAAAAGTCTTATCAACTATTACTATAATATTAAATTACCTATTACCGTGTTTCCAAATAATTCTCGTTATCAAAGTCAAAATTATATTTTTTATGAGTTGTTTTGGACTCAGGTTTCCAGATAAATTGTTTCCCAACAATTTTTTGTTGCTATTTAAATATATAATAATATATTTTTTTACTTAGTCTTGTTATCTTTTTTATGAGTCGTAAAACTCGTATTTACCATAATATTGAAGTTCCCTGTACAACTTAATCGAATTTTTACGTTATACATACACCTATAAGAGAGTTTAAGGGGGCTGGGTCATCTGACTTGATCATTCTGGAAGGGATGACACAAATATCGCTTGAATATATTAAGTTTCTAAGCTGAATATTCTAGACTTGTCTTCCGGTGATCGTACTATACAAGACATTACAAGTTAAACATTTAAAGCTTTTGTGTAAAAATAAACAAGTTTAAATTTATAATTGTTGGTATTGCGTGTGTAATCCACGTTATTTTGGTATTACATTGCAATGGTGGTGGAAAATAAGTACTTTACGTATTAGAACAGGAACGATTGTCAGCTGTGCAACCAGAGGTATCCCCCAAGGTGTGTGACACAACGCTGATAGTAAAATATCTTGTAATAAACTGGTATACTGGATTATTACTGCTTACAGGAGATGTAATATCATAGACAAATTATATTTTACTAAATTATTACATTTCATCGCCGGCCAGTGTTTCAAGCAATCAATAACGTTTGGCAAATTTTTCAAAAAAACAAAACCATCTTTTCGTTAGGCGTTAGTAATAGTCCATAACATTTTGTTACGTATCGATATCTATGCCGGCCACGACGTTTAAACACAGTGTCAACGATGCAATAAATATATTACGACTAAAATACTATCACAGCAACACTGCAGGGGTCACAATAATTTATATATTATATTTTTATCGTTTCAGGCACTTTTTACTGTTCAAGATGTTGTTATGTTTCATCATACCCGTTTTGGTGGCGGTGTACGTGTTGAATGAAAACTGGGTGGAAGCCATCAGCTCACTGGCCGTTGTCCGGTACGTGTTGAACTTGAACTTCACGTGGTCAGTCAACAGCGTGGCTCACATCTGGGGAAGCAAGCCGTATGACAAGTAAATAAAACGAATCGATTATTTAACCGGCGTGCTCCCGATATCGGTACCTGTACAACAAGGAGTCCGCTTCTCGTGGGCGCATTTAGGTACAGAAAGGGGCTAAGTTAGATATGGCGTCTATATACCTCCTTGCGGAACGTTTTCGACAAAAACACAAATTTTCTCAGTCTGTTTTTTTTTTGTAAAGGTCACTTTAAATTATACACTAAAACGTGTTTATTTTAATTTAAAAAATCAACGATTTCCCCTTGATACACAATATCATGATCGTGTTACGTTTAAAACAAATCGTCTCACTTCTGATCGTAGTTTCTATACGATTTCAACTGAACGGTTACCAATTTTTTTCACGAATCTAGTCTCACGTATATAATTAAACAGTTACAATGATCGCACGTTGAGTTCAGGTCACACCGCTGATCTCACAGACACATACCTACCCCAAGTCCTTACAACACCTCTCCCCTAAAAACAGTCCTCCAATAGACAAAAATAAGAAGAAGACACGCAACGAAATTTTAAAACACACGCCCACTCGGACTTAATCAATTTTTACCCGTTTCGCAGACGCATTCAACCCGCGCAGAACTTGATGGTGTCCATTGTGGCCATGGGCGAGGGCTGGCACAACTACCATCACGTGTTCCCGTGGGACTACAGGGCGGCCGAGATCGGCGGATACCTGTTGAACACTACCACGCTGTGGCTAGACCTGTTCGCCAGCATCGGTTGGGCGTACGATCTCAAGACTCCGTCCAAGCAGCTCGTCCAGCAGGTGGCCGTCAATCACGGCGACGGAAGCTGGCGAGAGGAACCGGAAACGGCGCACACACGGGACTATAAGACTTCATAAACATTTAATTTATTACAATGTATAATAGGTACATCGTTAAGTTATAAACGTTACGATTAATTATTATTATTATTATTATTATTATATTGAACACGCTTGTGAGTGTGTGTGCGTGTATGTGTGTGTGTGAGTGTTAAATGTTGAAATTAACGTATTGTACACTTACGCGTATAATATGTTATTAATATAGGTAACTATTTTTATAAAATAATATGTACACATGTGTTATGTTACGAAATAACATCTAAGACACTTTAGAATATACCATTATTATTATTTTAGATTATATTCAATATGGGTATCATCGTTATGTATTATTATTATTATTATTATTATGTCGTTTCGTATACTTCTCGTGGAGTCGTAGCCTCGCGGGAATCCCAAACGGACTAAACACAAACGCGGTCACGGCGGTCTAAACCGGCCGCGGTGTAGATTAATACGCCAAGCAATATTATTCGTATAAATTATTATTTCGACTGCGGCATAAATTAAAACACGGTAGCTATAGTGCAAACGGACCAACCAAACTTTACAGGCGTTTAGGGCATTATGTGTATACGAAAGACCGGCTACAACAATACAGTGTGATATGTCACTATAAGATATTATAACATAGGCACGCGGTGGTTGTATACGAACTTCGTACGAACTCTTTCGTTCGCGGTTGGCCTATTGATTTATCGAGCTCGAATCGCAATTTCACGAACAAAATTATATAATAATATCGGCGAACGGTAGCTGGAGACGAAAAATTAATAATAACCTGCTATACTTTATCGCCGCCGGAAAAAAAAAAAATGTGATGTCTCTAAAATCGTGTCGAAACAATATTTAACAATATTATATTAATATATTCGCAGTCCACACATTTGACCGGACGTCATCCCTCATTGTCGCTCATCATAACACTATAACGTGCCTAGGTAATAACCGCGCCCAGCTGGTATGCCTTTATTTTCGTGTAAACGTACTATTATTGGTATATATTATACGGTAGGTACGGTATTAGTAACTCGGTATAATATTTACATACTGTTGTCATGCACTACAAGTATACCTACCTAGCCGCTGTGGTTATATCGCATCGCATTGCATTGATAGGCACAAGTTTCGATGGACGTTTAACAGTTCTTTTTTTGTTGATAATTCGTAAGAAAATTCAAAATATTATAGTAATAGTAAGTTATAATGGGTGCAGTAATATATTGTAGTTGCATATTAATTTATAGCCCAGATTGTTTTGCCCGACGAGTTTGTTACTTTTTGTTTTATATACATTTATATTTATTTCATCGAATGATTCTTGTACGCCTGTATCTATTATAATATAATATGTGCTTGCATTAAAATAGAAAACATTCATTCGATTAGTTATTTAAAAATTAGAGTTAAGCAGTAGGTATCATATTGTCATTTAAGTACCTATTTGAAATCGAATCAAAACATAACAATTGTATATAATGAAACAGAATTTTTTTTTGAGAAAACGAATCATAACCCGTCTCCGAATTTGTCAAAAAGATGATTTTCATGTAACAACTTTTATATTCATTCATATTATATTACTTAATACAAAAACCTTAGTAATTTAATTATAATTGAAGTAGGTACAACATTATTGGGATTTTTTAATGAAAATGTTTTTATTAGCTGAACAATTAGAGTAACTGTAAGTCGTTTAACTGGAAATAACAATTAAAAAACATTTTTAAAGAGTTAAGGTGAGTATACTCACAACTCATATTGTCATATTTTTGAAATATTTTTTGTGAATCTATAAATCTATTACTGTTTATGAGATTTGCTGGATACATTTTTTGAAGAAACAGAAAGAAATATAAAAATTACATACATTTTGAATACACAATTTTAATTGTCTGAAATGTTATCACATTACAAGGACTTGTAATTTAAAATGGGAATAACATTATTTATTTTTTCATTTATAATTCAAGCATCATAATATATCTTGAGCATCATCTTATTTTTTTTTTAAATTTTAAGTTTGAATAAGAAATTTTGAAACGATCGTTTTAATTTATATTTTATAGGCAATATAAGCGCGGTTGGTGTTTTGCTACAATTCATTTCACGTTTTAAGGCGATATGTTATTTTATTCGCAATTTTTGTTTCAAACGGATACACGAAAGTCGATTGCAATGTCAATCAATACTCTACAACTATATAAAATCTTAAGTGAACATTTTTTTCCAACCATAATACGTATATAATAAATAATATGTTACGTCATACCTACTTTTGACTTAGTGGTTTGATAGATACCACGATATGTCATTGTAGAAAAATAAAAAAATGATTGATATAAAAATAAACTCATTGCGATCATACACACGAATCATTTAATACCTATTATGTAAGCATTTGAAACAGAAGCTCTCGGTTACAATAAGTTGGAGTATTATTTTTTTTCATATTTCGATTCCACAATTATAGTGATGCGCCAATATAACCACGGTGTTCGCGTCGAGGTGATCGAAGCCATTAATCAATTGATGGGAAAATAAGTACAATAATATTATCACAATAATACTAAAGACCCTCGAACGAAACGAGATGACAGTAATAATTAGGTTTTATGACGGCTCCTCTGCTGTCGGCTTGAACGGAAAAAAAAAATTTATGACGGTTCCATCTCATACGTCTCGTATACTATATTTCAATGTTATTATTGTATACGCAATACATACACTTAAGCGCGGTGCACATGAATTATTGGAAAGTGTACTATTTCGAGACGCAGAATCTCATCTCTACGATTCCGAATCGCGAACAATAATTTATTATTATCATTCGGCACGGGGTAATTAAATATGATTTATCATGTCGAATAGAGATTAAAAAAGAAAAAAAGAAATAATGTCATAATATGTGTAATGTGTACTTACATATATATATACAATATACATACTTATACCTATACCTAAATGCGAGGAAAGAACATGTGTGTGTGTGTGTATGTGTGTTGTTGGGTATAATATGTAAGCAAAACGAATAAAACGCGGAGATGTTATAAATTGCCGCCATTAAAATGTCAAGGAAAAATGTATGGGTACCTGTGCGGAGCGCATACAGTATATATACGACGGTTACCGGGGTAGAAAACCAGCGCTGCGACGGAATAGACCGAGGAGAAATTCGAGTTATTTAATGTTTATTACCATTTAGAACCGAAAGAATATGCCAAGTCTAGTGCTGAAACTAAATCAGTCGGCGGTGTGTATATATATATATATATATATATATATGTGTACCTACACGTATGGAGGTGCGCAGTGGGCGTTAATTAATTGGCGTGCTCGCTTGGATGCCAATAATCGAAGACAATAATGATAATAACAACGATAATGATAACGTAAAGAACTCGTTGAAATATCGATTGTCAGCGAGACCGTATAGTGCAATCGGCGAGTTACACACACCACGAGTCTCTGCCGTCGTGCGAGCGCAGCGACGAGCGAATATAATAGAAAAAAAAAACTACGAGTTTTACTAAAAAAAAAAAAAATATATATATATGACTTATTGTTTGCGGTGTATTGGCTGCACAGAGTCGTTGTTGACAGCTGCTGCCGGCTAGTCCAATTATATATTTTATATTACGTGCCACTTTTGCTTCATCGCAGTCTCATCTACGCCGACCGATGATGGGTTGCGATATTATTATTATAATTCTGTTTTGCTACCGACGCGAGTTCGACGTACGCTTCATACCGCCAGGACGAAAGCTGCAGTAATGGGTGTATGGCCAGAGTGACCACATATGTAGAGGGAGCCTTTCGATTATACTCATTTACAGGGTAGTGCGGGGTAGTGGGGTAAGATATTTAGATTATTGTATTTTGCCGCCGTCGATGATCACCGCGAGATGTTGTTACACAGCTCGTAATGACGTTGTCTTACACAGTTTTCCTCTGTACAAAGGTGCTGTGCCTCAAAATAAGAGGACGATCAGTCGGCTGACCGATTTACGTCAGTGCTGCGCACCTCCCTCCGACTTCCCGCTGTCGGCGTGGTCCTCGAGGTGCCAATCGCATCATTCACGATGCGCAAAAAGTGATTGTCCTCTTTTGAGACAGAGTATATAGTGGGAGTAGTGTGATGTCTATGGGATTCAATGTAGGTCGAACCCACCGATTCGGAGATTTACAGATTACTCGCTTTTAAAGGGAAGAATTTAATGCCAGGGCCGTGGACTCTGCGTCGAATGCCTGTTGTAAGCATTTGGACTGCTATTGTTATATATATTTATCGTATTATAATACGGTGAAACCTGACCAACACTTCTCAATATCGGACGTTTTCTTGGGAATCTGCACCTTCAAACTTTCTACAATATGGACTATCTGAAAAGCAGACACCTCCGAATAGCGAACAAAATGTATTCTAATACGTAATTTCATATACTGAATAAGTAACTAAGTAAAAAACCAAACGGTAGGTGTCTATAATATATCATACTATTTCCTATAATAATAAATAATAATACGTGTGAAGATATTATAAAGGTAATTAATGAACCTGAAGAAAAAAAAATACTTATCACAAAATGCAAAATTCTCTACAATCTAATTTCAAGATTATGAAAATTGAAATACCTACAAAAATGTTTTAGATGCCATTTCACATACACCGTGTACGTTTGTAGTAATCATTATTATTAGGTATACTTTTTTATAATCAACCTATATTGTATACCTACATAGACAAGTATTTTTTTGTAGCTATTAATTTTATCATCAAGTACAATAATTGGAATTATTATTATCACCATTGGTATTTAAAATCGGTATTTTTACAGATGTGTTATAAAATCAAAGTCTTATAAATAATATACATGTTTTTAATAGTTTCAAAAAAATCACAATTTTTATTTGTCATAGTAAAATAACGATGCACAATATATTCATAACGCTAAGCTATAAAACATGTTGCAACACACATAAACGATAAATGCTATAATATTTGGTTTGAGAATACATATAGCTATTTGGCATAGAAATAACATTTAAGTTTATAGGTAGGTAATTTTTGTTTCGTAAACGCCATTTAGTTTTGATTATATCGACAAATTATGGTTTATACTTTATAGTGATGTGAAAGCAAAGCATCTATAGCTAACAGTATACCTATACTGTTTCCACCTCTTACGCATATTTTAATAACTATGAATTTTGAATAGACAATATTCAATTGAAAAAAATGCATTTACGAGACAAATGAATGGAATTCCGAAAATCGTTGGGTTTGTTACCGTAAAATGTTTAATCAGCATCACTGTTATTATATTGTACATGCTTAAATGTGTTTTCTATACCAAACAATTGTACGTCAAAATAATATAAATATTACAGCATTCAGTTCTGTGCAGTAGTTATATATAAAAATAGGTATATATATAAACAAATAATATACAAATACAATTGATAAATTATGAGGATAAAAAAAACCTTTATTTGATAGATTTGTTAAAAATCCGTAAACAAAAAAAAAAAAAAACAATAATAATAATATTAAAAATACAATAACGCTAGTATATAAGTTGTATATACGTCTAGTACATAAAACAAAAAAGATTAAATTACACCGTACAAACTAGGAGGACGTTGTCTCGAAGGGTATGATTGATACGATATACACTTAAATATTACATAATATCGATAGGTGTACACGTGATTTCGGAGGAATGTGTACGTATATATATATATATATATAAAATATATACATATACAATAAAAAACATAAAAATTGGTCTAGCCGACCGGAAGTCCGCCGCGGTCAAGCCGTCAGTCGATCACTTGTGCGACCCGTTTGTCGTCTTCGGCCATGTCCTCGTCGCCCCATCCCCAGACGCCACCCTCCACGTGGTGGTGATTGTGGTGCTGGTGGTGGTGTCGCTTGGTGCCATCGCCCGTCCGGCGCGACCGCTTCTCCACCAGACTGGCGTTGGCCGTCTTCAGGTTGTACGCCAGACCGAGCCTCGCGCATCCGTCGATGAACGCCGTGCTGAAGTTCAACCGGTAGTTGCCCAGCTCCGCCGCCTTGTAGTCCCACGGGAACGCGTGGTGGTAGTTGTGCCATCCCTCGCCGAACGCCAAAAGCGCCACGGTAGGGTTCTCGGTGGGTGTGATGTTCCTGGGGACAGAGAGATGACCGTGAGTGTTCAGTATATTAAGACTAGTACCACGATGTCATAAAATAGGTATTGTAACGACATGTCAACCAGTCGGTAGGTAAGTACGCCTTGCATTCCGTTAAAAATCCGGCAGTGATGGCCTAATAAACTGTCAATTTTGTACATTAAGTATTATACCTCCAAGCCGTCACAGGGGCTTGTTCCCAGGAGCACGCGAGGTCCAGACCAACCCCCACTATTGCACTATTATTATTTTTTTAAATCGTTATACCTCTGCAGTTATTGCACATTATCGCAACCGTTATACCTGTTAAAACCTCATGGTTATCATACGTTGTATATCGCAGACGTGATTCGTGCGTATTGTGTTACGTCATTAAATATTATATTATGTGATCAAGGGTTTCAAATATACCACAAACGATAGAGCAGATTTCTGATATAAGAAGTTAAGTCATATAGTTTTATCATAACCGCTATTCAAGATCGTAACCTATCTACTAATATATATATATAATATATATATCTATGATTCACATGTGAAATAACGTGTATGCCTTGAGGGTTAAATATTTTTTTTATATATATTTATTTTGAAAAATATACAACTCCCTATTTCCAATCTATTTTAAATAATAAATATAATATGTGGTCAATTAATTTGTAGAAGAATTTCGGATAAGAAGACTAAGAAAACCAGTTGAGAATTAAAACAAATATTGATTCGACATTTTTAATTATTTTTATAATAATATAATAATGTAGAATAAATAATATTTGAATTATTAATTGTAATTGTTTTATTACAAGATTGTTATTATCAATTGTCTTCGTAATCACAATTTGGTCGATAATTGTTTATATTATACATTTTATTTAGATTAGATAAATGGTTTCCCATATATTATGTTTTACTTTCAAGTTTCAATAATTTGCTAACGTGGTGTGTTATAAGGCGATTAGTGGATGAAGTTTTATTCGGTGTATGCATATGGGGGGGGGGGGGGACAAAAGTTCGCACGTTGTATCAAATGCATCTAAGTACAATAAGAGAAGGAGTGTAAAAAATCTATCAAAACTGTATTATTATATCTTTTATAATTTATGTATAGACTCATCCAGTAGCTCATCAATAGGTAAACAATATTATAATACACATTATTATGTCTGTCTTCGAAACTCTGTAGTCTAGTCTGTATATCTACTTAGTAAAGGATTAAAACCATCAAATTCAGTTATGGGAGTACCAATACAAATATGTATAGGTACATTCAATAATAATATATGATACATTAGTTTATAATTAATATTGCCGTTTGATCGTGTCACAAGTCACATCGACACAACGCTGGTCCCGCAGGCTGTGTATTCTCTGATAATCGTCGGGCGTACGCTGTAGATAGGTACATAGTATATAATATTATACATATATAGGTATATATGATTCAGTTCTTCGCTGTGGGGATTATACACCGATATTCATATTGAAAATTAGTCTAATTGTTTAGGACATCCCGCGAGGACGTACAAAATGAAAACGGGTGCAAACGTGCAAGTCTCACTGACTCGCCGCTTTAAACGATTAGTGAATTGTGCTAGACTGTAGGTAAAGATATCTAATAATAGAATTTCCATTGCCTAGAGCCACCACGGCGTAATGAACACGATGATCCCTGGTGAATCACCGTACCAATCGTACGCATGTAAAGCTTTCCTGCCGGTTTAAACAATATAACTTTTGGGATACAACCAAGCATCGATGAGCGGAATTGATACCATATTCGTTGTCTTATCGAACTCGACGTTTTAAAGTTATTTAAATTCTGGTGACTATATTATAAGATTTTGTTATTCGTTTTATACGGTCAACACCAATTATAGTTCAGCCGTTTTAAACAACACATTAGACCACAATTACGATGAATGTATATAATTTTGTAGAATGTTTTTTAAAATATTAGTTTTGGTTAATTATTTTTAAAATATGTATGTAGGTATTTAATGAATTAAATCCTCAAGGACGTCAGTACAGTAAGAGAAACAAAAGCAATACTAATAAATAAGTATACAGATAATTAAATAATAAAATAATAAAATATTAATTACAAGATAGGCGTTGAGCTAGAAATTCGACATAAATTATCAGATTGACATTAATTGAAGTAATTAAATGCAAGGCGAGATTTAAAGGATTGCATACATCATATATTATTTGTTGACCAATTGATGACGTGCGATTGATGAAAAAAAAATGTATGTTGTAAGTAATCGAAGAATCGAATTAGGGCCATAGTTTGGTATAATGTGTGGGACCGTATATGGATGTCGTTGTACCTATGCTGTTAAAAATGACCTTACAGGTGTCACCAGTTTTGAATAAGTATGCTATATTAACGGAAAAATTTTTCTCTACATTTTTTTCTGGACATAATCGATTTCAAACGGCAATATTGCCCATGTTTCAGGACGATGGAACTACAAAGTGTACACCTTTATGACCAGTAGCTGAACCCCGTGGTGTTTCGAATAAAAGCTCTACGATTTTTAATCTTCGCCACACGTGTCCAGAGTCGAAAAATAATCGTCACTTTTGTATAATCTGATAAAATTGTATTAACAATAATAATATGTAGAGCGTATTGAATGCGAAGCGAGTTCAAGACCACAAAACGTCATAGTATTACATTTCTTAATGTTAATGAGAATTAATCCAAATATTGTCGTAAACGCTAAAACATGTTAGACCACATTGAAGATTACGACAATCGACCAACAGAGAGGCATAATATTAAAGTATTAAGTCATCGGCTAGTGGGAGGAATCTACACAAAAAAAATGTAAGCTTTCACTAACATCATTATAAAATAAAGGAGAGAGATGTTCACCTTGTAGAACACCCGAGGTTGGTATAGGTCACTATTATACATATTGATTCAGAGAGGGTTATTATTCTTTTTTGTTCATGTTTTTTGCATCCGTTACGTAAGACTGTGGCCAGGCCAAAAGCGGACCTTTTATAGTTTTATGTCAAACATTTTGGTTATTAATTGTAATTACTAATTAGTGCGTTAATTATTATAGCTATTAATTTATTTCACCTTCCCATTACTATATAGCTCGTGGTATTAGTTATCTATGAAAATGGCGTAGCCACTTTATATTTTAAGTTGTAAATTGACAAATAAAACACGTAAAATATCTATATAAATTACTACCGATATTAACGGAATAGCAATATTGCAGAAAGAAAAATAATGGTTTTATTAGTTTATCTAATTAACTTTATTATAATTATACTAACTTATCGTATGGTTTTGTGCCCCATATATGAGCAGCACTGTTAACCAGCCACGTGAAGTGTAACGATATCATGTAACGAGTGACGCCGACCACAGCGAACGCGTACCAAAAACGTTCTTGCCAAAACCAGTATGGAACGAAAGACGGTATCAGGAACGTCACCACGGGAACTAGCCATAAGTAATATCTGAAAATAAAAACAAAAACTATTATAACTACTAATATACTACACAAGCAACAATTATTATGATAATAGCTTAATTAATTATCAGCTGTATCCACACTCGGCAGCTATTATTCGTAAACATTGCTGGAGGAGGTTGGATCGGACATAGTTATTCTCGATTTTAAACAAATTTCGTGTGAATCAATCATTTAGTATAACGTGGTAAATCACAACGTGTACATAATACACGGACTAGACTACGATAGTAATGAATATTGTATTTGATTTTGTCCGGTTCGGTGTGCACAAATCTATAGCAGATTCGAAAGGGAAATTTCATTAAAACATGACGTCCAATCTACTTAACTATATAATATAATATGTTAATACTCGTAGGTCCTATTATGTAAAACGAGTTTTTCGATGAGGTAGTAGAAAAAAAAGTTGTATAATTACTCGTGATGTATTCGGTATTATATTGTAAAAATCATGAGTTTAATGATATGTTATATTTTATTCCAATGTATTTTCTCTTGAGTATCAGAAACGTTTTAAATAATTGATACTTAGAAGAAAAGGATAATGTTACATTTCCGTGCACGACAATGTTCTGAAATGTAAGTTAGTAATAATATTGTGAATACAATAATATTATTGTCTCGTCGATTCTACTCGTGAATCTGCTTCCGTTATGATTTACTTATAAAATAAGTGACTAATATAGAGTATGATGGTTTCGCGCGAAATAAAAATAAATAAAATTCACATATCTTAAAAATAAAGTATTTATTATTGTGTTTAAGGATTACGAAGGTTCCAGTTTCTATATTTTTCACCACAAATTACACATTGGCGTCATACATGACTCTATAATAGCAGCTTCATTCTTCACTGCTTTTTCTACCATAAAAATGTTATACAACTGTACGGAAATAACTTTCTAAAGCGTTAGAATATATATATTCAACACATAACCAATAATTTATAAGATATGCATAAGGACATAATGGATTACATTTGTAACAACAAAATATTGTTGTTTGAGTATTCAACTTACTAATTTGGAAAATAACTATTGTAAAACTAGATCTCTGATGTAAAACCATAAAATCCACTACAAAGGCACAAAGCGTATTAATTTATGTACCTATTATACATTAATAATTCGTAGTGTATAATTGTTGAGGTGTATTAGTTGTCACTTAAGACTACCTATCAATAAAAAAAAATCGTAAATCATAATAATATGGATGGCATGGAACAAATTATATTTTCTTGGCATTAATGTGACAAAATATCTTATTATATGGGTTTGGTTTGTAGAACACATAACGTTTAATCGAATTCTATTAGTTAGACAATACATTAGTTAAGCACTTTAAACAGAACTTGGGTCATAATCAACAATTGCTAGTAGTTGTATTATCTTTTCTTCCAGTCGTTAGTATAATATTGATTTTATTTTACATTCAATTATAAGGCCTGTTTCACGGTCACGCTCATGGAACGCAGCATATGATATGCGTAAATGTGAAACATGCCTTAGACGTTATAAATAAAAAATACTTTTCGGAGCATTATAGTTAATAATAAAGACAATAGTTAACATAATATATTTTTGTGAGAGCTCTCTATCGTTATGAGTTTATTACGAATTTACTTATTTTTACCATTTTTTCTAGTAGTTTATATTGTCCGCCGAATAAGTGAAATATTTTTAGATAATGCCGTAAGTAAGTACATGGGCTGCCGGAATTACGATTCCTCGTAAAACTCATATACGTTATTTTTGGACGGCCGATCGTAGTAAAGCTGATAGTAATATAATAATAAATTGCACTGCAATATTGCTGTTATGATTTATAACGACAACTAGTATAAGAGTACATACTACATAGTATTATACTATTCCAAACTACGAGACGGTGCACCGTGGTGATGTCAAGAACGCTGAATATTATTTGGATATCACGTGGATCAGTTTAATTAAAGATGGTTGTATCAAATCAATATTATAGGAAACAAAAAAAAAATCCAAGAATATAAAATATGGTTTAAACATATAGGTTAGGTAGGCGGTGGCCTCTAATTTTGGATCTGATGGTGATGTTATAATATTATATAGACACTCCTATAGTTAACCCACTATCACATATTATCATAATATCGTATATTGTTTACACGGTGCTATAATATTTGTACCTACTCAATACACATAATATTATGGAGATGTCTACCCATCATACGCACATATTAATATTATGCATTTATTTAACGCTTTTTACACTTAAATTACCTATGGTTATAGTAATAATTACACGGTGAACGGTGCGATTTCGTTCGCGTGCGTTTAACACGCATATGTGTGATTTAATGACGTGTTAATGTACAATATAAAGCGAACGTAGGCAGACGCAGACACTCTCTATGGCAGGGAACTGGGACGTTATTGTGTAAGTATAAAATGCGCTGCATTAATGTTAAAATATAATATTATGACGTATTGATTGAATTCCACAAGTCATCCGTAGTAAATGCAATTATCGGAATAAGAACATTTTGTGCGAATGTTGCGAAAAAAAACAGAATTGTTACATATATATATTGTGTTAACTTTTCACCGGGTCCGCGGGAACTGTATGACACGCGTGTTAAACCGACGCGAATATTGTTCGCGCATATTGTTAGCGTATATATTGCCCAATGAAATTAACTATAAAACGAACACAAGTACAACACCGTGGTCCACCGGGCTTTTCCAGACGGCGTTTTTGACGGTCAGTACCTGTGTAGGAATCTAACCCGATGTCGGTTGAAAACCGTACGTGAAATATTATGTAGGAAATAACTTTCTAGATGGAATTTGCGACGTAACAATATTATTTTAATTACTATATCAGGAGAAAAAATCCCCCGCTCCGGTTGTCCGCGTGTGCGGGTGTTTCGATGGTACTGACACAATAATGTATTATTATTATTATTATTATTATTAAAATATAAATTGAGCCTCGACAATATCGATAACGCGCCGCGTTAAGCGTTCACTACAGCGGAAACACAAAGCCGCGCGGCTATGAATAATTAACGCCAGAGTAGACATAATATGTGATCTGATAGGTAGAATATTATGTATAACAGTATAACACATACACACGCAGTCGTTTGCAATAACCGAAAGCGTTTGAGTGTGTTAATATTGTACGTTATAAACAGTTCAGCCGATGAGAAGATATTATTTCAATATTATAATTTACAGGTAGGTATCTCTTGTTTGTACGCGTTCCTGCAGTCTAAAAACTGATTAAAAAACTATATAATATCGGTTGTTAGGTGTTCTGCGATGTGTCAGAGTAATCATAATAATTGATTTCGACGGATGGAAGGGAAAACAACGACGCCAGTATAAAATAATTTATAGGAATATCAACAACTTCGTGAACGAAAATTACAATTACACAATATATTAATGCATCGGTCATCGGTCGGGTTGAGGCAACTTAACCATACCATTAGGTATGTTATACGATGCAGTTAGCCATAGGGGTTTTTTTTAATTGTATGAAACGATTGCGTCAGAGTACAGAATGATTATTATTAACGTAAAACAATATAAGCCTGCGTCAAGCACAGCCTTCGACGTCATTTTGACCTGACGGAATAAATATATATTGCTCTCATCGTATAATATATTAAACATTATTCTCAAAAAAAAAATTGAAGTTTTTAATTTAGTTTGTCAATTGTTATGATAAATAGTGAATTTGACTATCAAATTGTTTGCAATTCGTATAGTTATTTATATCATTTTCCACTTTGAAATATTATCATAAAAAAAAACTGCTAACACGCGGAAATACCACTGACTGAAAACGTTTTAAATTTGTGTAATGTTACACATCGTCGAGGTTGACAAATCACACTTCTAGGCAGCTCCGGTGCTCAGGGAAACCACTGAGAAAATCGAATGTTTTTCGTCAAGCATCGAATACATACATCTTTCTTACTATATATTATATATCTTCTATAGACTTACGATTTGAACACTTTCACGATCGATCCAATACGCAGTAGTTACAAAAAAAAAATACTACATTTAGAAAAACTCCAAAACAAAATCTTAGCTCAGAATAAAAATTAAAGCACCCCTATATTATAGCTGCAGGTATAATATTAACAACAGTATCGTTGAAAAGTTCCAAGTACTTAAATCAATAATTACAATATAATATTATTTAAGTTACTATGGGAAATATTGTTGAGCTCACTTTTTCTGCCACATGACCACCGGATCGGCTTCCAGGTCTTTCATCTCGACCGCGCAACCCTTGGCCGACACATCCGGGTGCTTGCGGACCATCAGCCAGCCCATGTGCGAGAAGAAAAATCCTCGAGACGAGTTGTGTGGGTCGGCGTCCGTGTCGGTGAACTTGTGGTGGACTCGGTGGTCCCGGACCCATTCGTATATGTGGTTTTGGAACGCCAGGGTCTGGAACACGGCCAACAGCACTCGCATCGGCAGACGTGCGTTGTAACACCGGTGAGCCCAAAGCCGATGGGCGCCGACCGTTATGCCCAAAGCGCTACACGCCGCCACCACTAACACTGCAATGACATCACAAGAATAAGCGAAATTATAATTACGATAATAATAATAATAATAATAATAACAACTGTGTGATGATACTGAGATGTCTCTTTGATGTTATTATCAAAGTAACTACGTTATCCTATAACGTAAATTATCGCTAACAGTATTTTGGAACTCGTCGGCTCAAGTCTCCTTAGTATTAGCTCAAAACGTGAGATTTAATCTTTTACACTAAGAAATTTATTTCTGCCCAAAAGAATTTCTGGTGGTGTTTTTGTTTTGGAGAGGGATCCCTCCTTGAGCATGAACTATGGTATACGCTATAACCCAATTTGCGTGCCAAGAAAAAACCCTCTGATTTGCATGTCATCGTAAAACACGTATATCTGACAAATTGCATATAATATTACGTTTTCACTTTTAAAAATTGTATTTATTTCTTGCTTAATAAATTAAAAACTGTTAAAATCGACAATGTGTGTCGGTTTTTAAATGAAAAAAAAATCATCGAAATAAATATTTTTTTAAGTTCACTCAATTTTTAAACCAATTATTCATAATATTCGTATTTAAGTATAAATATATTTGACCCCTGTCATGATTACTAAATTTAGTAAAACAATATTCCACTTTTGCAGACTTTGGACTGACATACATTTTATATGGAGGTTAATCTCGAGGCACACAAAATAAATAAAAACAATATTATTATGACGAAGCCATTTCATATGATTATTTTTCTTTTTGTAATATTAATATCGTTGTAGTAGGTGTGTGTGTGTGTGTAGTATAATTGTACAGTGAAGGTACTCACTGAACAGTATGGTTTTTATTTGGACGTGTCCGCTGAACACTAGGTAAAACCCGTAGACGGCGATCGAGTGCAATACGACGAAGCCGATCACGTTGCGCCACACGATTTGCCATTTGTACCCCACCTGTTGCGGGTAAGTCTTGGGCTTGGACGTCCGGTGCACTATCGGCGTGGGCGGCGAGTGGGGTGCGTCGGTTGTCAGCTTGCTGTCGTCGTACTCGACTTGTACGCCCGACCATATTTGCGCGAACGACGACGACGTGGCCATCGAGTCCGGATCGGTCGCAGTACAATATATTAAATAATATTATATGAGTGGAAGCTGAAAAACAAGACGGTTTCGAAGGTAAAAAAAACGGCGGCAGTAGGCACCACCGCGCATGTGTATATAGGTTGCTACTGATTAGGTTGGGTTAGGTATTCTAATAATAATTCGAATACCTAACAATAATACTAACCCAACAATATTAAAACAAACGGTGTTTTATAATTTATAGTCATAGACATAATGTTCAAGCGTCTAATATGTGACATTGTGTATGATATATCTACGTGATATTATTCCCTAGGTATGCGATAGGATTACGCGCGAGAAGGAACGCATCAATCACTGCACATTTTATCATACATATATGTTGTTCACGTAATATCGAACCGCATTTGAGCAATTATCTGCAGCTATATCTTACAAAGTCTTGTACTAAGTGAACTATTTGCAATTGAATTTATGTCCACATCATCTCCTCATTATCGTATACGTTTTCATTTAAATAACACAATTTAAATGAACGATTTTCCGGTGTGGAGTCACAAGGGTTGATTAACGTTATTTTAATTTATTTTGAATTTAAGCTAGAACAGGGCCGTATATTTAAATACTTTTAAAGTTAATATTTTTTTGTCTTATTAAAAATTGTGGTACTGAAATTAACGAACAAGAATTAAATAAACATTGTGCTCCTTTCTACTATTTATTAATCAGTTACAGTTTCAATTAATTCAAATTGAATTGGTATGGGCGTCTGCGAAGGGTGTGAATTTATATTTAAATTTGTAATTATTAAGGCAGTTAAGCTTTATTTCAGTAACCTAAACTTAAATAAAACGTCGTATAAACGTTTGTCACATCGTCCGAATACGCTTATAATAGTTTCTTAACAAATCGCTTTTTATGTATTATATATTTTTGTTACTTGTCACTTAACTGAAGTATTATGACTCTTTTCCATTGTAATTAACAATAATTATACATAGATACCAGGAAAAACCTAACACGTATTATAATATGTTTTCAATTTTACCATAAACTGTTTTCACATTTGGATAGTTAAAATAGACACTAAAATATAGTATTGTTTAAATCGTTTAATATATTTTAAATTATTATCACAATTAACAAAAATGTACTATAGGTACGTTAAGTTTCAGATTTTGATGACTTAGTCTGCTAGTTCTATACGTATTATGTATATATTTTGTCTAGGTATGTAGTGTGAACAAGTCACGACGGACTGGAGGCATTTTGTAATGAAATATAATATCAGTGCGTACTGTGCAGCCATCTTCTATAATTATATACACATAGCATAATATTATATTACCTATTTACCTATAATCATGACTATTCATTAGGTACTCACATTTCCCAGACATTACATTTTTTGGACTCGTCCGTTCGAGCACAAAGTCATTGCAGACTCGTTTTTATTTTCTAAATGCACTTTTAGAGAAATATTTTATATTACCTCATCTGTGACGAGAAATAGGGGATCCCAAGCTTAAATTTATACCTAAATAATCATTAAACTAATCAAATTTATATTTAAGTTATTAACAAAACTTGTGTGCATATCCTATAATAACAACATTTATACTTATTCAAAATCGAACAATACAACATTGGAACGAGTTATCTTTTGAAAAGATTATATTATATTATTATATTTAATCGATAGATGGTGATGAATTTAGTAAAATATCATTAAAGTTTTGGTTTATATAATAAAAATTAGTGTAAACATTTAGCAAACCAATTGTAAATTACTTTCTAGTATTTGTAAACCGTATGCAGATCAGTTGCAAATTATTTTCATGACAATTTCATGGTGAGTCCCTCCCTCCACTACTCTTGGTCTGAGTAATATGCACTGATCCAACGCCAATGAAATAAAAAAAAAAGTTATTTTTGAGTGTGTTGCCGAATGAATAACTTCCAGGTCAGACTCACAAATTATCAATAAATACGCACTAATATTTGGCAAAAAGAAAATGTCGAAAAGTTTATTTTTGTATGAAACATTTAAAAAACTATACATTTTATAACAATTGCACATCTACACAAATTCTTTTGAATAATTTGTTAATAAATTAGTATAAGTTGAAGGAGGCCAAAATTGTAAAATGTTGGCCTTGACTTACAAATTTGAATTGAAAATTACAAAAAGTGGTTGCAATTGATTTGGTAAATGTTTCTATTGGTTATGAATGGATTTGATAAAAAGTTAGATGCGGGAGGCTCCGTGAAAGTCAGCCCCTTAACCCAAACGTAAACATTAAATTATTTTGCCTTGTACATGGTAATATTCCAAAAATGAATTTACCATACATTTACACTTATATTTTAAATGGATTTAACTAAAAGAGAAGGCTAACTTATTGCAATATAACGGTGAAACCAAGATTTTTTTTTGGTTCTTTTGAATCGTACATAAGTATATAACCCGTCCAGTCAATTTTGGCTCCCAGCAACAGTTATATAATTTTAACTTAATTATTATATATCAAAAAATATATCATAATTCTATGGGATTATGATATTATTTTTAATAAAGTATTTTGTGGGCCACTTTTTTTTTTAAATTCGAACGGTTGCTGTGTGCTAAGATAAACTTGAAACTAAATTTGCTAAATAGGCAGGTAGGTACCAGCTGCGCGTGTATTATGTATTTATACTTACTACGCAGGTAGTTTGTAACGAGGTATTGGTGTGTGTTTTGAAAGTACTTACAAAATACCGAATCGTCTACACTCTACACTTCTCCTACAGTAATATTATGCGTTTGACGGACGAAACTCGATGGTGTTATTATTTTGTTTGTAATTACAACGAAGAGAACAAGCGATTGTCCTCGAGCTGTGTTCGAGTGACATCATCGTTATGATAAAACAAAGCTTTGTTGAACCTAACCAATGCGTTTGGGATGTATAATTGCATTGATTATTCATCGAAACGTCACACTATTATGTTATACCTACCTAAAAATTATTACTGTTAAGAGTAATTTTTCTTTCTTTTATACTACTTTCAGAATGTACATACTATACTATAGTATCCTATTTGAATATTAAAACATTTTTGCCTCGTTTTCTATGCAAGATATGTATGGAAACATCATAAAACGACTTATGACTTCTTACACTCAGTATCTTATATTAGAGGAAATATTAATAATTGCCAATTCGTGTACCTATGCTAACTAAATTCCAAGAACTTTCCTTCGAATTTAATATTAAAAATGCAATTTTTAAGTCATGCAATAAAAATTATTAACATTATTTTTATATTATATTATACGTATAGTTAATTAATTTGCTTGATTAAAATATGGTTCAATACTTCCGTACCATTTATACACATATATATATATATTTGTAATAATCTATGTCCTATGGCATACGAAGAAAATACAAATGAAAATTATAATAGATTAAAAGTATTATTTAAGCATTACAATTCACTTTAGTTGTATTATCCTAATTTTTCGTTTATTGTAAATCTGATATTTTTTTTAAACAGTTGTGAAATTTACTTTTCGTTGACATGGTAATAACATATATAATATATTTAACTTTACTTTTACAATACTATACGTCTATAATAGGTACCTTAAACACATTAAGCGATACAGAAGTATCAAACATTTACATTATTTACCATATTAAACCTATAACATTAACATATTAATCCACTATTTCAACAGTATTAAATATATTACGGAATATATACCTATTCATAAAAATTACCTACACGTGCATTTATTAATTAAAAAAATTATATTACAGCCAGATTTTATGCGAGCTAAGCAACAGAAAAAATGTCAACGTGGTCACACTACAATCGCAGTGCTTAAAAGTTAAAAATCAGTACAATCGTAACCAGATTAAGTTTATATTAATGTCGTCAGCTTTTATCGTTTACGATTTTTGTGGATAACCGTCAAAACCATTAGTTTGCTGAGAAAAAAAACATGCTTCACGATACATAACTAACTTGTAAGCATGTTATTATGATAATGCAACATCAGTGTTGGGTTTTTTAACATACAACAAATGCACGGAATCATTATAATATTATTTGGAAAATGTAGTCCATCGAGATTTTGTGACCCGATCGCACTTTTGCCGGCCCACAAAGATTTTATCGATGCCAATAATCTGGTCCAACTTACGCTTTGATCGAATATGTCTATCGTTGATCGTATTGTGATATATTACATACTCCACGCATTCGTAAAAGTAGAAACCTGATTTGAGACTTGTCATACAAGACTATGATTAAAAAAAGGGTCAATGCCGCACATCTTTAATTTGATTTATATCACATTGAAACATAGTATATAATGTGAACTGACTAACATGATGCTATATAGCTATATATTTTGGATCCATCAATGGCTAATTTCAATATTTGTTTTATTTGACGGAAAACGTGAATTTATACTTGAATACCTGACGTTAAGTTTTAAAAATATTTTTTTATTTATCCTTTCGTCCATATTTTTAACCAAAATTTAAATGAGCTGTATACTGTAGTGTTTACATCCGTTGGATTATCGAACAATACACACAGACGTTAATTAAAAAATAATATTAAAAGGTGTCGCCGTGACTAAACCATCACCGTGGGATATGTATGATAATTATTTCGTTCGAACCAAATTAAAAATATTCTATATAAATATAAAATTATAATGATATTATATAATAGCTACACAGAGAATTTATAAATCCTATTTATTTAAATGTATTTTTAATTTTTAGATTTAGGGCCTTTTTAAAAAAAAATATTAAAGAAAAACTGGAATTTTTAGGCAAAATCAGTTCATGACAAAACTGAATAACCATAGATATTTACAATGTCCAAAAATGTTTACACATCAATTTTCTATACATAATACAATTTTGAAAATATTTTGATTCTTTTTAAACAATTTAGTATTTATTGACATTTTCAATTTTCAATTTTAAGTCAAAAAGGTTGGTAATTTAATATGAGGTTCCTCATAAATTGTTATAATAGGAATTCAAAATTATTAAAGATAC